CCCCCAGCCTGGGGTTTGGGGCACCCAAGACCCCTCAACTTCCCTCTGACACCCTCAAAATCCCCCCAAACCACCCTGAGCCTGGTGTTGGGGCACCCAAGACCCCCCTGAGCCGGGGTTTGGGGCACCCACGTGGCCGGGGGGGTGCTCAGGGAAGTCGGGGTGCAGGGGGGGGAGCACCCACCAATATCGAGGTAGCTGATGGCGAAGCTCTGCTCCTGGGAGAGCTCCTGCAGGAGGGCGCAGGCCCCCGCACCCATGGGTGCCAGGGGGTGGCTCCGCAGCTGCAGCATCTTCTCCCCCGCCGAGTTCCGCAGAGAGTCCCAGGTGCAGCCGGGGGCCCGGCCACGCAGCCCCTCCAGACGGGGGCCAGCCTGCGGGGACAGGGGGGGCTTGGGGACCGGTCCCACCACCCCCCCGGGGACAGCGGGACCCTCCTGATACCCCCCGGGATGTGGGGACCACCCAGATCCATCCCCGGGGACAGCGGGACTCTCCTGATACCCCCCCGGGGGTGTGGGGCCCATCATGACCCCCTGAGGGGATGTGGGGACCACCCAGATGCCCCCCTCCCGGGATGTGGTGCCCATCCTGACCCCCTGAGGGGACATGGGGACCATCCAGATCCACCCCCGGGGATGTGGGGACCACCCAGACGCCCCCCTCCTGGGATGTGGGGCCCATCCTAACCCCCTGAGGGGATGTGGAGACCACCCAGATGCCCCCTGGGGACAGCAGGACCCTCCTGATACCCCCCCGGGATGTGGGGACCACCCAGACACCCCCCTCCCAGGATATGGGGCCCATCCTGACCCCCTGTGGGGACGTGGGGACCATCCAGATCCACCCCCGGGGATGTGGGGACCACCCAGATGCTCCCCAGGGACAGCAGGACCCTCCCAACCACCCGGACCCTCTCCAGGGACATGAGGACCCTCCAGATCTCCCCATGAGGGTGGGGGGGCTCAGGGACCACCCAGAGTCCCACACAGGGACACCCAAGGGACACGGGGGCTCAGGGACTCCCCCCTGTGGGGACACAGGGGCTCAAGAATTGGGGGGACCCCAACATGGGGACCCGTCCCAACCCCTCGGGGTGCCCATATCCCCCCCCATTGGCCTCTCGGGGTGCCCGTGACCCCCATCAACCCCCCAGGATGGCCTCAGGGTGCCTGTGTCCCCCCCCCATTATCCCCTCAGGGTGGCCTTGGGGTGCCCGTGTCCCCTCACAACCCCTGGGGGTGCCCATGCCCCCCCCATTAGCCCTTCGGGGTGCCCTCAGGGTGCCCATATCCCCCGTTAGCCCCTTGGGGTGCCCATATCCCCCCCCATTAACCCCTCAGGGTGCCCACATCCCTCCCATCAACCCCTTGGGTTGTCCATATTTCCCCCCCGTTATCCCTTTGGGGTGGCCTTGGGGTGCCCGTGTCCCCTCGTAACCCCTGGGGGTGCCCATATCCCCCCCCAACAACCCCCCAGGGTGCTCATGTCCCCCCCCAGTTAATCTCTTGGGGAGCCTGTGTTGCCCATTAACCCCTCGGGGTGCCCATATCCCCCCCC